TATGGACTGCTGCCGCTGAGGTAAGTGGGGCTCATAAATCTAAACTTTGTAATCGTAAGAAAGCCACCCCCCAAAAAAGAAAGGAAAAAAAAAAAAAAAGAAAAAGAAAAAAGAAAGAAAGAAAAAGAAAGACAAGAACAAAAAATAAAAAGAAAGAAAAATACAATGTTAAGGGCTGGCCAAGTAGCTCCGTGGATTAACGCGCCTGCAAGCCGACTCAGGGGCCAGCTTTCTCAGTCACCATTCTTTCTCAGTCAAAGAAATAAAAGACTTGGTGGGAATGTAGTGTGCTTAAAATCATTCATTTCTAGCCTTCCAATATATATTAATACTTGTTAAATATTTTCCAGCCTGCGCCATTACTCAGTAAAGCAAGCAGCATAAAGTGTGGATCTCTGTACATCGCTGTTTAAATGACAATGATGTTAAAGCTCAGTTCTTCTGGCCACATATTTTTATTTTATTTTATTAATTTATTTATTAGGGCTGGCCAAATAGCTCAGCAGATTAAAGCCCCTGCTTAGGCAGAGGCAGGGGCCAGGAGTTCAATCCCCAGGCCTGCTGTGCCAGCCCTGCCCCCGGGCATGCTGAGAGGATGACTGAGACGGGGTGTGATGGTGTGGGCCTGTGATCCCAGCACTTGGGAGCTGCATGCAGGTGGATCACTAGGAGTCTGCTCTACGCAGTGAGGCCCTGTACACCCTGTCCTAAATTAAAAAAAAAAATCTTGGGGGGACTGGCATGGCACGTGGTGTCCTGTGCCTGCCTAAGCTCGCCTAAGCAGGCACTTGAGACCTCCAGGCTGTCTTGCCAGTCCTTATTTTATTTATTTTTTGAGACAGGGTTTTGCTATGCAGTTCAGCCTGGGCTGGAATGTATCCAAATTTCGATCCTCCCACCCATAATTGTTAATAAATCAATTTATTTTTATTTCTAATTTTAGAGACAGCCCATATTCGTGAAGAAATGTCTTCAAGTGTTACTTTATTTAGTCAAGTTCTGTAAGTGTCAGATACAACAATAGCTTGATAGGAACAGATGAGTGTCCTATGACGTGGAATGAATTCACATCTTCATTATGAACTGTGTCTAGACAGAAAATTCTAAAAGCATAAAGATATTTCTAGAAAAAATTTACAAAATAAATACCAAGTTAAGGTTCCTATAAACCGGGGTTGCTCTGCTTAGGCAGAGCGCAGCGGCGGGGGTCCGATCCCTGGCCTGCCGAGCTGGCCCACCCTTGAGGCAGGCTGAGCCAGCCACTGAGACTGGGCGTGGTGGTGCACGCCTGTAATCCCAGCGCTTGGGAGGCTGAAAACAGGAGGATCACTAAGAGTTGGATCTACCTGGTGAAACCCTGCAGACCTTGTACTAAAAAGAAAAGAAAAAAAATTCTGCTGTTGGACCAGTGACTTACCTTCTTCCCGCGCCCTCTGGCTGGGCAGACGCCAGCCCCACAGGCCGGAACCTCATGGGGACCCTCGTTCCCTCCACACCCTCGCTTTCGGACCTTGGTCCCGCCTTCACACATTCTTTGAGCTCTGTCCCTTAGGTGTAGTGCCGGCCCAGCCACTTCTCTTTATTTCCAGTGTCACTGCCCACTTCAAGGTCACTGTTTTCTACCCTGACAACCAACAAATCCCCTATTTTGACACAGATATCAAAATATATTGTGTCAGTGTGCAGCCATGCTCCTGAATGGCTTCTAATCCCTTGTTTCCTCACTGACTTCAGGAGCAAACCCAGGCCCTTGCTGTGGACACTGAGACCCCTTAAGCCCTTCTCCAGCCTTGCTCCTGATCTGGTTCCACCCCTCAGGTTGAGCTCCAGGCACAGCGGCTCTTAAACGCTATGTCCTGTGCCCCAGGCCCTTTGCGGCCCTTTGCACTAGCAGGCGCCTCCTTTCAGAACCCGCTTTTTATTCATTGAAGCCTTAGTTTGAATGATTAATTCATCAGAAACCCTTCTCTGATCACCCCACTCCTGTGTTTCTTTCTTTTTTTTTTTTTTTTGCGGAAGCAAGGATTGAACTCGGGACCCTTTGCTTGCCAGGAAGAGCTTACTGAGCCATCTCCCCGGCCCCACTCCTGTGTTTCTAAAACGATATTCACATTTCCTTTATGGCTCTTAACAAGGTTAATTAAGTGCATCATTTGGGGCCGGAGAGATGGCTCAGTAGAATAAGTGCTTCCCTGGCAAGCGCAAGGGCCTGAGTTCAATCCCCGGTTCCGCAAAAAAAGAAAAAAAAAAAAGTACATCAGCGTTACTTTTGCTCTGCTAGACTGGGTCATAAGATCAAGAAACATGACTATTTTTGTCCACCACAAGCCTTGCTGTGTAGTGTAGCTCCAGTAATCACCCACTGCTTACTTACTTACTGTTTATTTATCTAGTGGTACTGAGGATCGAACTCAGGACCTTGCACTTGACAGGCAGATGCTTATGCCGCTGAGCTACCTCCCCAGCCCCTCACCCACTACTTATTAAACATCTAAGCAGTCATATCTAGCTTTTAACCTTGGTATCAAACATTGTCTACTCTACTAGATCTATGAGGTCTGATTGAAAAATTCATTGAACATTTACACTTTTTACTTTATCAAAGTAAGTGACACATGGGTACTCATCTTCAAAATACCCTCCTTCAGACACACTTATCCCGTGGTACTTGCTACTTTCTGTAGCAGCTCTGGAGTCCTCTTTCCTGAGTGTCTTTAGTTGTTGTGACTGCGTCAGTGTCCTGCATCAAATTGAAACATTACCTTTCACGATCATTTTGATTTGGGGAGAGAGCCAGAAAATGCCATCATGTTTAATGGTTTCATCTACAATTCTGTGTTATTTAGGTTGCTTCCATGGCCTGTTTTCTTTCCTCACTTTACTATTGGTGTTTCCTGGAGTTTCTCTTGACTACTTCCTTGAGCCCCTTGTCCAGCCAGGGGTTACTTGTGGGCAGCTCCACTAAGACAATGGTTATATTTTCTCGTAAGTTTTTTCTTCCTTTCTGTCTTTCTTTGCTTTTCTTTTTTGAGACAGGGTCTTACTGTAGTTCAGACTGGCCTTGACTCACTGTGTGTATCCCAGGATGGTCTCTAACTTGCTGAGATCCTCCTTCCTCGGTCTCCTAAGTGCTGGGATTACAGGTGTGCACCACTAGGCCTGGCCTCTAGTAAGAAATTTCTAGCAGAACTTTAAAGCTTGAAGTATAGTAGAGGGAAAAGAACACTGAAAAGGCCCACCAGGACACCATTTGCAGAAAAATTAGTCTGGTGTCTATTTAGACACAATAGGCTCTTGGAAACATGCGAAATCATGTGAATAAATTACAAAGCAGTGGGAAGTTCTACTGTTTTATGATTGCAATACATGTTTATTCATATGCACAGGAAAAGCTGCAACTACCATACTGTGTATTTCTTCATTCCATCCAGAATATTTATCCAGCACTTCTTAGATAATGAATGTAATGCTGGGCTGGGGATAAAGTCGTGGGTTGTGCTGTGCTGCGCTTACACTCCTGGACCTCGTAGTGTAGTATACGCTGGTGTCATTAATTTATCCTCCCTTGCCCTCCGGCTGTGACAAGAAGTGTGATCGAAAGTGTTGGGAGCTGAGGTGGCGGCGACTCTGGAGGCCGCAGTCCGGGTCCTGGCCTCGGCCCCAGCCCCACCATGGTGACGCTTGCTGAACTGCTGGTGCTCTGGGCCACGCTCTTGGCCACGGCCTCAGAGTACTTTGTTAGCATGAATGCGCATGCCGAGAGGTATTTCTTTGAGCGGGTCACCTCGGGCACCAAGATGGGCCTCATCTTCGAGGTGGCCGAGGGCCGCTTCCTGGACAGCAACGTGGAGATCACAGGACCTGATAATAAAGGGACTTACAAAGGAGCCCGAGAGTCCTGTGGGAAGTACACATTTGCTGCTCATGTGGACGGAACATGCAAGTTTTGTTTGAGTAACAGAATGTCTACCTTGACTCCAAAGATAGTGATGCTCACCATTGACATTGGGGAGGCTCCGAAAGGACGACACATGGAAACCGAAGCTCACAGAACAAGCTGGAGGAGACAGTCAGTGAGCTGGCTGTGGCCATGACAGCTGTGAAGGACGAGCAGGAGTACATGGAGGTCCGGGAGACGACACACAGAGCCATCACCAACAGCACAAACCGCAGAGTGGCCCTTTGGTCCTTCCTTGAAGCTCTTGTTCTAGTTGCCATGACATTGGGTCAGATCTACTACCTGAAGAGATTTTTTAAAGTCCAGAGGGTTGTTTAAAAGGCCTTTCCTCATGATCCCAAACTCATAATTCACTTGTTTACCAAACACCTTGGTCATTAGTGTCATTAGAGTCTATATTTTTATTTTTGGAACTGTACATTTCACAGCTTATGTTTCTTTGTGATTAACAGATACTGGGAGAAAAACATTTTTTAGGAAAGTTTTAGGAAAATTTGACATTTGATCGGCATAAAATTTGTTTGAATGCTGCCTTCATTATACAGGTCCTTCCAGAACTCAGACACTGTAAACAGAATACAAGAGTATAGTATCTTTATTGTGCCTTTTTTTAAATTTAAAAATGCAGTGTGGTCAGGAAATTGGCACAATTCCTGAAAACACCCTTACTAAAATGATGAAATCTCTGCACTTTCTCCTGTGGCTAGAGTTATTAAAGATTAAATATTCTTTTTGCCCAGCTGTTACATGGCACAATAATTTCCTCCTCTTTTCGCTTGTTGTTTTGATACTGGGAGTTGAACTCAGGTCCTTGTGCTTGCCAGGCGGGCGCTGTGCCGCTGCGCCTCTGCGCCACATCTCCAGCTGCAGCAAGGATTTCCGCCGTGGCGTTTCCCGCCTGTTGTCACGGCAGAGCGCCGACTTGCCAGTGTCAGTCGGCAGGCTGAGGCCTTTTATACTTGCCCTTAGTACGCTTCAGTCTGAGACTGGCCCCAACACATATTTCCCTTACATTTTTTCCATTGAACTTTAAGACTGAAACCCCACCCCCAAACTGGTGACCTAGGTGGCTGAGCTAACTGTCCTCTGATTTCTGCCCAGCCTCCCAGGCGGCCTCCATCAGCCAGTCCCCGGGTCTCAGCCAATGCCAGCTGCTCTGCGCTGGCACACCCCTTCCCCACTCGTGGCACGTAGGAAATATGCAGACATGTCATGGGAAAAATCGGAGTTTCTGCTGCCAAAGGATCAAGGCCTGCGGTTTGATTCAATCCTAACAGCCACTATTTTAGGGTTTCTCTGCAAGCCTAACAGCTACTATTTTATTTTTCATCTGTGGCCTCTTGGGTCCATATCAGCACTCTGGTTCTTGTTTTGGTTTCTCCTGGGTCTGTCTTTTTTGGCACATGTGATTATTTTTTTTTAAAATATAAAATGAGGGACTGGTGAGATGGCTCAGTGGTCTAAAGCACCTACTTAGAACAAGCTTAGCAAAGCACAGGGACCACGGTTCAATCCCCCAGCACCACATGCCAGCCAGCCCTGCCCCCTGGTGGGCTGAGCTGGCCACACACACACACACACACACACACACACACACACACACTCTAAATAAATAAATAAATAAACTTTAAAATAAATAAATAAATAAATAAATAAATAAATAAATATAAAATGGAAGTCTCTTGCTCTTTCATGGATTTAAGATTAAAGGAGCTTCTGGGTTTGGTGTTGGAGTGATCCAGGATTATGTTGTAACTGAGGTATATTGGTTACATGTGCTTTTTTTTTTTTTTTTTTTTTGGATCTTTGTAAGGGGAAAACTATAACAATTTCATATAGTTAATTTAAATTTGTAACAGGTTTTCATGTTCAGGACAATTTTCAACCTTGGGTGAAAATACTTGCAATAGTTTACTGGCAAGGTGACTGTTTCTTTCATCTTCTTGCAGCTGTTGCATGCCATTTTTTTTTTTTAAATGTGTGGAAACACTTCAAAATTGAATTAAAGGCTGGGCATGGAGGCATGTGCCTGTCATCCCAGCACTGGGGAGGCTGAGGCAGGAGAATGGCTGTGAGTTCAAGGCCAGCCTGGGCTACAAAATGAGTGCAAGGACAGTCTGAGTTGTACAGTGAGACCCTGGCTCAAAAAGACCAACAAAAAATTGAATTGAAATATGCAAACTTAAAATTTGATTGTGTA